TGAGAGAGGCTCCAACTCAAAAAAAAAAAAAAAAGGAAAGAAGAGGGCCTGGAGGAGAGACAGAGGGGCTTGGGCACGTGAGCAGTGCTTGGTTCTGGACCTCCAGGAGTGGGCTGAGGTACACTGGGTGTCCCTCCACCCCGGGGACAGGTGCTCCATCTAGCCTAGGTGGGAAGCCAGGAAAGGTAGTGCCCTCCCCTCTCCCCAGTGTCAGCACCCAGGGGGCCCCCTGGGAATACACCGCCTTGTGGCAGGAGGAAGCCAGAGCAACACCTGGCGACAGCTGGTAGATCAGGACAACTGGGTGAACAGGGGAGGGGACCTGCAGGGACGTGGTCAGGATGCAGAGGAAGGAGGAGGCTGCGGGGCGGGCCCACGCGGCCAAGGCTCTCAGAAATGTGCTCGGGGCTCCCAGGGTGAACAAGGAGCCCATCGGTATGATGGAAGCAGCCTGTGTGCCCGCTCCTATGCCTCCCCCAACACGCAGGGCTCAGTCTCAGGAAAGGGACCCAGGTCTCAGTCTTGGCAGTCACAAAGCACAAAGGCAGGCGCTCTCTCATGCGCTCTCTCTCTCTCTCTCTCTCTCTCTCTCTCCCTCCCTCTGCTGTCTCCTTCCTGCTGGAAGTTGTGAGGGGTGGGGCGTGGAGTGGATTCTGCCTAGAACAGGAAAGGCCAGGCAAGGATGCCTGAATGTTTCTTGTGGGCCCATCTGGAGCTGTTTGGATTCTGGGGCGTCCTGTAGGATTGCACTGCACCTGCCAGGCAGTCCCCCTGGGTGGCTTCCTCCAGTGTGGCCACATGAGTACCTTGTAAGACTTCCTCTTGCTGCACTGATGCCTCGGTCTGATCCAACCACACGGCTTGGGTCTCTGAGGGGTCCCCCTTGCCTGGTAGGGGAGACCCCACACATACACACACACATACATACATACTCTCCCCGTTTGGCAGGGTCCCAAGTCTCTCCAACTGCATGCGCCAATCCATAAATAATGAGCACATGGAGATAAAATTCCTCCAACCTCCCTCTGTGCTGCTCTCACGTAGATGATGAAGACCCGGTCCCTCCCTCTGGAGTGTTTATACACCTCCTGTGTGGTTTCCTGTCTGTGGAGCTGAGGAGAGAACCCGTTTCAGCATCCCGCAGACAGGTGTGCAGGGACACGAAGGCCCCCAGGCCATGGCGTCCACCTCAGACCCAAGCTCCCTCTTCATGACTCCTCCCCAGCCAGCACAACTAGGTTTCTGTCTCATCCTCGGCATGCTGACCCACAGTTTCCTGGAGGAGGGCACACTGGACTAGTGGAAGTAGGGCTTTGTTTTAAAAGCCACGGCCAGGTACAGCAGTGCACGCCTGTAATCCCAGCATTTTGGGAGGCTGGGGTGGGAGGATTCCTTGAGACCAGGAGTTCAAGACCAGCCTGGGCAACACAGCAAGATCTCATCTCTACGAAAAGTCAAAAACTAGCCAGGCATGGTGGCACATGCCTGTAGTCCCAACTACTCAGGAGGCTGAGGTATGAGAATCACCTGAGCCCAGGAAGTGGAGGCTGTGGTGAGCCATGATTGTGCCACTGCACTCCAGCCTGGGCGAGAGAGAAAGACCCCAACTCAAACAACAAAAACAAACAACAAAAAGCCCGGGCAGGGTCCAGCAGCCTTGTAAGTCTGACTCTACTGCTGAAGGGCCGTGGGACCCTGGATATGCTGGCTACTCTCAGCGGCTCTGTTCTTCATCGCTAAGACAAAGAGACTGGGCTGGACGGTCCTTCCAGACCTAGGAGGCTGAGCGGGTCAGGGAGTGTGCAAGACCAAGGCAGGGCAATCCAAGGGAAGCAATGACGCCAGCGTCTCTCTGAGCAGTGCCTGTCTATTCCTTTCCCATCAACGGGTGGCTTCCTTTCAGGTGAAGAGGTCGGCCAGGACCTTGTCTCCTGCCTTGGGGACATCTACTCCTCCGCTTCAGGATGAAGATCAAACAAAAGGGCAGGTTCCTGGGCCCCGGGGGCACCAGGGTGACCTCGGGCCTTGCAGTTCAAGGAAGCTGCATCAGGTTGTCCCAAGACCCAAAACAGGCAGCGAGTGGACGGTTTCCAGGCTCCCCCCACCCCAGCTAAAAATAAAAATACCATGGGATCAGGGATGTTCCCAGTCGTAAATCAGCCAGCTAGGACTATTTCTGTCCATATCCCTTGCCCAGGGCTCCTCCTATGATCTCTGTCCTGTCTCCCACCCCAGCCTCCCAGCCACCAAACTCTTCCGCCACCCCTCCAATAGCTCAGTAGCTACGTGACCCCAACAGAATCCTAACCCTGCCTGCCTGTGAACGGGTGGACATTCTGGTGCCTCCATTAGCCTCCTGGAGCCTGACTAGCAAGTGTCCACTCTGACTGGCAGATCGACTCCCCACAGACACCAGGTTTCCAGGCCTGCGAGCCCCAGAAGCCGCCCACAGGTCATGGTGGGTTTCCAAGGGTGGGGGTCCCCGAAGAAGCTCATGGCATGGCTATGGGAGGACTTCTCCCTCATGTGGCTGCAGGGATTAAAGGACCCACCTCCTAAGGCCACTGGGGGGCATGCCATGGGACCCTGCAGGTGCAGCATGGCCTTGGAGCCTGGCAGGCTGCAGGAGCACAGCCTCCCAAGGCTGACCCGTGTCTTTGGACCGCGCCTTTGAGATTTTTGTCACGCTAGAGTCCCGAGTCAGCTTCAAACCCAGCTCCCGGAGAGCCCTCTGAAGACATTGGTCTACGCTGAGATCCTCACGGTATCCAGCGGCTAACCACAAAATCCATGCTCCCCGCCCACTGGAGAACGGTCCTCATGTTCAATCTTTGGCCGCCCTCTGCAGGTCACAGGCTGCACTGCAGGCAGCGTTGACCGCGTCCCTTGGGCAAGGCCAAGGTGCCCCACTTCCTAGGCTTGGGAGACAGCAGATTCAGACAGCAGGGCAAGGCGAGGTGTCCCAGGAGGACACCTCAGGGCACGGGGAGTCAGACGTCCCAAAGCATTTGCTTGTTGACTCTCAAGACCACTCTGCTCTCCCCTTGGTGCCAAGCACAGAAGGGAATTCCCGGGCATCGCTCAACCCTGAGAGACTCCCTAACAGCAAACCACCAGTCTCAGGACCTGCCCAGAACTTTCCAGAAAATCATCTGAAATGGCCTTGCATGGACTTCAGGGTAAACAGCTGTTTGATTTCTTAAAGCTCTTCAGCCTGGACCATGCTGTAAGATACCAGCAGATCTAGAATGCTCAGAAGGGATTTTGTAAGAAAATGTGTGAGTGTGTGTGTGTGTGTGTTATGAAAGCTGGCTACGGTCTGATGATGATTCATAAGCATTTCTCACATACCAACCAGCTGACAGTTTCATTTATTAGTGACATCAAGCACTGGTCAATGGTTTCCACTGTCCTTTCATGGCTAGAACCATGGGCTCTGTCTAGCAGAAGGTTGGGATTTGGGGTTTCTTTATTTTTTTATTTTTTTAAAGACTGTTGCCCAGCTAGAATGCAGTGATACCATCATAGCCCACTGCAGCCTTAAACTTCCAGGCTCAAGCAATCCTCCAGCCTCAGCCTCCTGAGTAGCTAGGACTACAGGCTTGAGCCACCACGCCTGGCTAATTTTTTTATGTGTACTTTTTTCATAAAGACAGGATCTCACCATGTTGCCCAGGCTGGTCTTGAACTCCTGGCCTTAAGAGATCCTCCTGCATTGGTCTCCCTGTCAGGGGTGAGCTATCATGTCCAGCCTAGAAGGTTGGATTTCATGCAGCAAAGGCACACAACAGTGTCATACAGCCCACCCAGCACCATGTGGAGATGAAACCACCTGTTGGAGTCATGGAAGGGGATATCTGTGCTGCCCCTGTTCTCTTTACCAAGCACAAGGAACTTGAGGGAATCTAAGCAGAATTGAGCAGGCCTAGACATCACATGGCCCTGAGGAAGCCAAGCCTTTGATGGCACAGATCCCTTATATAACCGGAGTTTTCAGGTCATATATTTATAGACTTTCAGAGCAGAAGATCTTAGAGATTATTCCAGTCCAGCCCTTTTATTTTGCAGTAAAATGAAGCGCGGGAAGGGGAGAAGACAGTTCAAGGTCACATTGATAGCTAGAGATGGAGCTTGGAGGAGAACCCAGGCGCCTTGGCTGTATCCTCCGGCTGATCTTGTTTTTGATAGCAACGTCTCTCAGCGGAAATTTCTCTGACTTCAAAGGAAGAAGATTCTTATACCTAATCACTTTTTTAAAAAATAAGCAAAGAGATCGCTTCTCGGCCTTTTGGCTAAGATCAAGTGTAGTATCTGTTCTTATCAGTGTAAAATAGGTAAAGAGGAAGGGGAAAACACCTAGCATACTTCAGGTGCTCAATCATTGAGTTGGTTGGCTTTTTATGATATAGGGTAATTTTGCTTTATGCAGCTTAACAAATCAGGATCCAATTAACCTTGAATTTGCTTCATCTTTATCCTCACCAGTGACCCAAAGCTGGCTAGAGGTTTTAATCTCACCCCACTGCCTTGCTGAAAAAATCTGAGTGTGGATCTGAAGTGGTGATAGATGTTCATTGGTTTAAAGGAAAGACTTTCAGAGGAAGGGACACAGATTTAGGGTGACTTTGGTTTAAGCTCCTGGAGGTCTGTGGGGATCCTCTTGGAAGGACAGACGCCATCAGAACTTGAGGTGACACAGGCTGTCCAGCAGGTGGGGGGACACAGCACAGACAGCCGCTGAACCTATTCCAAAGGCAGGATTAAAACAAACAGGAAATGGCCCTGACTGCCCCCAGGGCCTGGCAGTTCTGAATCTGCGTATCATTATGCTTGCAGGTCACATTTTGGATCAGAATCTCCCAGTGCATTCCGTTTTCTTCCCAGTGCCATCCCGAGGAATCACAGCAGTGGCTTCGCGACTTTTCAGATCCATGCTCCAAAGTGTGTTTGGTCCATAGAGGCTCCAGTGTGGCCCAGAAAGACACTGCAGGACTTCCTCTTCAGACCCTCAGCGACCAGGGCTTGCAGTTGTCTGGTGCAACCGTGACACACTGGGAAGCAAGGACACAGCTCTCACTGCAGGGGCCTCTCCCACCCTCTGGCTCACATCCTCTCCCACTGTGGGGCCAGGCACCACGCTGAGATTCCAGCCACCAAGGATGCCCCGGGTAGGATCTTTGATGACCCACTCATTCCCTTAATTTTATTGAGCACTTTCCTGCAGCGGGCATCCTGCCAGGCTTTGGAGACACACGATGGACGATACAGAAGTGGTCCCTTCTCACGTGGCCTCACAGCCCTTCAAAAGCACCACGGGCTCATAAAATCAGCTGCTCGTGGGAATCCATGGCAGGGACTTTTAATCACTGGAGCATTGTCGCATAGAAAGACATCTTTGTTCTAGGTCTGGGGCCTCGGAAGGGCTCTCAGAATGATGCCGTGCTGCCTCAGAATGTTTGCGAGGAGCTAGCCAGGGCTGTGAGATTAGCTCACTGGGAGCCACGTGGGCCCCTCCTACCAGGGAGATGGGGGGGTCAGTGCAGGAGCCATGGTAGGAGGTTCTGGTCTAGGGGGAGCTCAGTGCACAGCTGTGGACACCTTGGCTGTCTGGACATTTCTCACCCCATCACCACAGCTGTTGGCAGACTTGGCTGTGATCTCACATGCTCCGTCCCCTCAGGGCTGGGTGGCAGACAGGCCTGCCTGGGGCCTCTCCTGCACCATCCCCATGTCTAGAACACTTTGGGACCAGCTGAGGGTTGGGAAGGACCCCCATCTTGCTGACTGGACAGGGGCTGTGGCTCAGAGGCAGCTGTAGAGTGCTGGGGGTCGGGGCCTGTGGTAGCATAAGGCAGGAGGGGCTGGTCCGAGAGTCCAGTGCTGGCCTTTTTTACCAGCTGCTGCCCACAGAAAGCCTCACACAGGTGCTTCCCAGGGCAATGCCAGTGACCATGGACTTCCTCTGCCACTTTCTGCTACACACAACTCCAAAGTAGCAATCAACCTGCACAGAAGGCAACTTTCTGAATTCCCAAGGTGGCCAAGACTCTCAGGGTACCTGTGTGTCCCCAGTGTCGGCATGGCCCTTGGGGGTCACGGAACAAACCCAGCTGATCTGAAGAATACCATCTTTCCCTCCATTTCCCTTGGGTCTTTAAGTGACTTTAACAAAGAAAAACCCCAGAATGCTAGTGACGGGCACTGAAGATGGAGCACTGCCCATCACCCTGACCTACTTAAAAAAAGGAGGCCCACCATTCCTCCCGCCTCCAGGGAGGCTCGGCTGCCAGCTACATCGGGCTGATACGTTTAACCCTCGAAGGGGCCTCTCATCTGGCTCTCACTAGTTCTCCCGGGTTTCTGAACCCACAGCAAGGGGCAGCCATGGACACAAGGCCGCCCATTGGGCAGAAAGCCCTGGCCACTCCTCCCCACTGAGCCCTCCTGGGGCTCACCAGCCTAGCGCTTGGGCAGTGGCCTACCAGGGTAGTAAACTTGTCCACGCAGGCGTTGCGGATCTTCTCGGGGGTGGCAGGGCTGTCCAGCCGGAAGAGTTCCTTCGCGTTGTTGTCTGTGTGCTGAGCGCGGGCTGCGCGGATGGCATCCTTGATGGCGAAGAAGATGGAGGCGGCCAGGAAGAGGGGCGGCTCCCCGACAGCCTGGAAGGACAGGGCACAGGGCAGGGCTCAGGTGAGTGGCTCTGTCCCCCATGCCACCCGGGAGGCCAGGCAACGAGCCCAACCCAGGAAGACCACACCAAACACAACAGAAAGGCCATTCGACATTGACTGGGGCTGAGACCATGGAGTCAGTGTGTGGCTGGACCTCACAGCCTGTTTCTTGTGTTTCTTTTTTTGCTTTCTGAGTTGGGGCTCACTCTATCACCCTGGCTAGAGTGCAGTGGTGCAATCACAGCTCACCACAGCCTCAACTTCCTGGGCCCAGGTGATCCTTCTGCCTCAGCCTCCTGAGTAGCTGGGACTACAGGCATGTGCCACCACACCTGGCTAATTTTTTAATTTGTGTGTGTGTGGCAATGAAGTCTTACTACGTTATCCAGAGTCATCTCGAACTCCTGGGCTCAAGCAACCTTCCTGCCTCCCAAGTGCTGGAATGACAGGCATCAACCATCTCAAGGAGCCACCTAGGATGCTGAATTGTGTGGTCACCCCCTGAGGATGAGATGCCAGGGATGCAGGCCTGAGCCATGGTGTGGCCCAGGACGTCACCTACAGGATTTGACCAATGAGCCCCTGTGAGTCCACCCAGAGGAGCCACTTCAGAGCCCACTAAGCCACCATCCTCAACCCAACTCAAGGTTCCTCGGGCAGGACTGCCAACTCTCGCCGCCCTCGTCCAGGTCAGTGTCAAGCCGTCTCCCCTCCTCAAGGTGTGCTCTGGCAGACCCACCAGGGGGGTGGCTGGGACCCTCATCCCCCACTCCCACAACCTCCCATGGGGGAGACCAGAGGGCAGCCCAGGCCCAGAGCCTCGGTACCTTGGAGGCATAGATGGCCTTCTTGTTGGGGCAGTCACGGAGCAGGGATACCCGGAACTCGACGGGGATGGTGCCAAAGGCGGGGATCTTGTAGGTGCTGGGGCCACGGGTGTGCAGGCTGCCCTCCGGTGAGTAGTGAAGCTCCTCCAGGGTGAAGAGGCCAAGACCCTGCACAAATGCCCCTTCCACCTGCAAGACACGCAAGACCATGGCCTCCCTGCCTCCCTCGCTCCCAAGCACAGATGCCGCTGCCACGACGGGCAGAGAGGCCCCCTGCAGTGGGGTCCTGGCAGGCAGCTAAGCCCGCCCCCGCCCCATCCCGGGAGGATATAGCCGGACCTATGGGTCAACACACAGGGCTCTTTCGCTGGGTGCTGGCTTGGCAGAACAAAAGCATTCACCCTGAGGGTCAGTTTCGAAACACGTCCGTGATTCCAGGCAGAATTCCCACTAGAGGATGTCTCAGTGCGGTGAAGACCCTCCATCCATGTCACCACAGGAGGGGCTTCTTGGATAGTAGATGCTGCGAGGCTTACCTCCCTAACCCCAAGCCTGCCCGTTCTCTGGGAAGAAACGCCCACAGCTTACAGACTTCTTGTTGGGCACCCGCCCTGCTAAGCAACCCACAGGTCCACTCAACCAACTCCAGCCCAGAGTGACAGCGGCCCCACTACAGCTGATGGGGCATCGGGAAGAGACCCCTGCAGGCACCCATGGGTCCACAGTTGGCTGGGTGCTGTGCACAAAAGGCCTACTTGCGTGGTTGCTCAGCAAATTAATGAACAGATTGGCTAACAACCAGGTTTCTGTACACCTGAGTGACTTCACTTTTGAGAGAGACGATTGTTCCTTTCTACCAGCTGCTTGGAACGCTGGCTTCCTCCCACTGTCTTCTCTTGCTTCATCTTTTCTGCCCAGTAATCCCGCATTCCTAACGTGCATTTCCTGGGTCCCTTGTTCTCCTCCTCTGGCTCCCACCCTGCCGTTGGCTCCCAAGGCCCTCTGCCACCCCACACTCGGTAGTAACTCCTCAGGGTACAAAGCTATCCTGGGTGGGAGGGGAATGAGGAGAGAGAAGGACATTTCTGCCTGGGTGTCAGCCCCAAGTTCAATCTCTACTTCACATTTTCATTCTCCAATTGTGTGCATGTGTGCACACACATACACACGCGTGCAGCTGGTGTGTCACCATGCAGCATCATGTCCTCTGAGGAGCGAGTGCCCTTGCCAAGTGAATCCACATTCATTTGCTTTCTGCCTGGAGAGTCAGGTGGGCTGCCATCCATCTAAATCCCACTCTGGGACTCCCTGGGTACCATGCTCTGGCCTGCTTCACGACGACACTGGACACCATGCTGCAGCTGGTGACCCCAGGAAGGGGATGGGGCATTCAGGAGCCAAGCCCATAACCACCCGGGCCCCCATGAGTCCTACCTGCCCGATATCAATGGCTGGGTTGAGACTGGAGCCAACATCCATGACTATGTCCGTGCGGAGGTTCTGGAGTGAACGGCACCATGGTAGCAGTATGAGAAGAAAGGGATGTCTGGGGTATGATAGCTGGGTCCTGGTGACCCTTAGATCGTGGGCCCCAGTCCAAAGAGAACTTTCCCAGGCAGAACACTCTGGGTATGCTTAGGCGAAAATGCTACCACTCCCGCCAAGTCCCTGCTGCCACTCTCACTGCTCAAGTAGCAGCTAGGATGCGGTCACGACCTCTCTGTCCTTGGGTATGACCGTGCACATGTTTATGTGTCAGGACATGTTCCCAGGGACCTGGACTTCCAACCAGAGTCTGAGTAGACTGTATAAATGGGGGTCAGCAAACTATATTCCATGGGCTGGACCAACCCACCCTGTTTTTGTAAGGACTGTAGGCTAATAATTACTTTAGATGACTAGAAAAATGAAAAGAAGAATATTTTGTGACAAGTAATAATTACATAAAATAAAACTTTTGGGGTAAATAATACTACATTGGAACACAGTCACACTCTCTTGTTTATGTGCTAATGTTGCTTTCCTATTTCAACGGGGAGTAGTTGGGTAGTTGAGGCAGAGACTGCATGACCTGCAAAGCCTCAACTATTCAGTCTGTAGCTCTTTTTAAAATGTTTGCCAGCCAGGCTCGGTGGCTCAGCCTGTAATCCCGCACCTTTGGGAGACTGAGGTGAGTGGACTGCCTGAGCCCACGGGTTCGCGACCCGCCTGGGCAACTTAGTGAGACCTCATCTCTACAATAAATCAAAAATTAGCTGCTGC